CATGGGAGTCCTGAGGGCTCCCGGGAGAGGAAGACAGGCGTGGACTGAGTTGGAAATGATCCAGCAGAGAGGAAGCCATAAGCTCTATACGTATTCTTTGTATTTGATGGAACATGGAGCATGATGGGCTGGGGAGCGGGGAGTGAGGCGCTGTGGAGTCTAACGCTACGGTTGCCTTTAAATGCCCTACGGCCAGGCCCTGGCCCAAGTCATTGTGCAGCTTTATGGAAAGCATTAGAAAGCAGAGTCCCTGAAGGCCGACACTCCCCTCCTTTGAGGACCAGTGGGCATGAGAGGAAACCGCCAATGTAAGCCTGAGAGAAAAGGGTGGGCTGCCAGGCTTGGAATCCCAGGAGGAAAGCGACTGTAAACCATGCTGCTGCTTCCCATGACCCTGGCCTCCGCTAACAAGGGAAACAGGGTCAAGTATAACATGAAGGACCATCACACCGGTCACCAGAGCCTCGGCTGCGCCACGACACCTGCAACTAAGCTGGCCATCAAGACAGTCTGCCCAGTGCTGGACTCCTGCAGGGCTGTGCACCGGGTCCCTTCACAGAGGACAGTAAACTGAAGGGCCCAGCTGGCCCAACCCACCGTCAGCCAGCTCACCTGGCGCCCAGGCCAAGGTCATCTACTCAAGGACAGGACCCTGAACTGCAGCCCCGGCCCCCGCCCCAGTCTCTGCACCCAAGCCCCCGGCTTTGAGAGGGACATATGCAGAATGGGGGAAGAGTCAATCCTGGTGATGCATGAGGAGGGGGAAGCTAAGGGCCGCGGACTCCCAGCTGTGCTTCCCAAACCCTGCCTCTGCCATTTTAAACGACCACAACTACAGATTCACCTGCCTGAAGAGAGAGCCCGGACTCCTCCGCTGAATATATCAGCTCTTTCACACTCTATCCCTGCTTTCTGATCTCCGCTCAACCTCTGCCACTCTCCCTTTGCACTCTGCACTCCGGTCCTAGTGAGTGGTTTGTAGTTCCCAGATCATGCGATGCTTTCTCACACCCAGAGGCACTGCACACCCTTGTCCACTGGCCTGCAAACTCCTCTCTGTCCACAGGTCCTCTGCCCTTCTCATATGGCTGACTCCTGGTCTTCCTTAAGGCGAGGCTTCCCATCGCCTCTAGGAAACTGTTGCTGACTATGGAGGAGATCACTCATGGTGCCTCCAAAATTCTTTCTTCCACAGTCTGGGGAGTTTTAAGTAGCACCTGGCCACCAAACTAAAGATGGTATTTCCCTGCCGCCCGGTTGTGGCCACAGAACTCAGTTCTGGCCAACTGGGTGTGAGAAGTGACAAGGTGCCCTTAAAGGAAAGGAGGGTGCTCAATCCCCATCCAGTGGGCGGGAATGTGGACTTGATGATGATTCTTCTTCAAAATACACACAAGAGCACTAAAGGCAGCAGAGCGAGAAGCGGGAAGGAGCCTGGGCCTCCAACACCATGGGCTGCCTCCAGGTGTCTGCAAGGAGGGATGGTGAGAGAGAAATGTCAGAAGTTACTGCAAATTATGAATGCAAATCCCCCTCCACCCCCCCAGCCTTCAAGAGCCATTGAATGAAACACTCCTATTATAAAAGATCAGCCACAGGATCAGCTAAACCATCCAAGATGAGGGTGGGACACTCTACTGACCCATTGATTCAAACTGTCCAAGAAGAGGGGAAAGCAAAGCAGGGCCCAAGACACGTCCCAGGAGCCTGAGGCCATCCTCCCAAATCTCCCACCGCGGAGCACTCCCTGCCTCCTTTCCTTCTGGATGCAAGTTCAGAAAAGTCAGGACTTACCTCTGGAGGTTTTGTAAACCTCGTAGAAAGAATAGAAGTGGAAGCCTAGTGAAGCAAGCAGGTAAAGAGACAGTTCCCATCGGGGCAGCATCGCTTCTTGTGACACAAGGTTCTGATGCCCAAGTTGAGAGTTTCTAGACAGAGAAACAGAAATAAAAACATTAAGCCATGGGCGTGACACTCGAGAATAGCAGTCAGCTCAGTCGTTCTCTCCCAGGGACCCATCACTGTGCAAGGTGACACAGATATAACCCCAGTGAAGCCTCCTGTGACCAGTTACCTTACACACAACACACACACACACACACACACACACACACACACACACCCTGCTGCCCAGGTGGGCAGGTCTTTCCCTCTGAGCTCCTGCAACCCCATCTCCCTCCTCTCACTGTGTACACCACGCAGTTCCGTCCTCAGTGCCTGACACACCTGTCTGTCCCCGGGAAGTGGACCTCTGGGGAGCAGGGGAGTCCCCAACACCTAGCACAGGGCGTGCGATGTAGCAAGAAGGGAGTATAAGTTGCTCCATGAATTAAAATATGGCTTCAAAAGCCTGAAGGTAAGCACCATCATCTCCAACCTCTTCTCCCCTCCCAAGGTCATCCCACAGCTGTTCACAAGATGCATTCAGGGAAACTGCTCTGTCTTCCATCTCCCGTGACGAAAAGGGAGGCTCAGGACACAACCCAGGCAGCCGTGGCCGGCCAACTGCTGGTCGCCCACCTGCAGTATCCAGTCTCCCTTCTCACACAGGAACTGCGCTTTTTATCTGAACACGTAGATGCTGAGCTCCACTCTGTCCTGTAGCCCCGTGTGGACACTTGGATAGTTCTGGCTGTGAGGCTGTGGTCATATCCTTCCTGCCGGGTGGAGTTGGAACAGCCACCGCGTGGGAACCTTGTCATTTCACACTCTCCACCTACTTGCAAAGATACTGTCTACTCGAATCCACACCAGGAGGGCTGTGCGCTTTTTCAGGCATCAGAACCCAGCTCAGAGAAAGGAAGCGATCTGCCAAGCACACGACGGAGAAGCCAGCGACGGAGCAGAAACCAGAACCCAAGGTCCCAACGCCCACTCGCTCACAGACAGAAACTCTGTTCCTCAGCCTGGGCAGAAAAGCATAGCTCACTGTGCCAAAGCCTGAAATTGGCATAAACGTAACTCCTGTAAGATGCTTTCCCCCCAGCGGACGCCATTATCATTTCAAAAGTTTGTCATCTTGATTTTTGATGCGTGCAGCAAACGGATTCCAATATTTCCATTTTAAATGTTTCCTGCTCCTCAAACCTGATTTCTAGCGCTAACGAGGCTATCACCACACACCCACATGCACCAGGCCTTTAAAGCGATGCTCTCAGCATTAAGCCAACGATCCTTCTGGTGGCAGCATCATCTCACACTTCTACTAACTGTTGCTCAATGTCCTAAACAGAAAATTTCCCCTACTGGGTTTTCCCCGACTAATTCCAGTAACAGCTGTACTGTAATAAGTACCACTTACAGATGACCTACGCCGAGAGAGCACTTTGCAAGTATTATCTCATTTAATCTTCGTAACAACTCTTTGAGGCTGGTCATTCTGGGATCTTTATTTAACACAAGAGAAAACCTAGGCCCAGAAAGGTCAAGAAAGCTGCCCAAAATCACACAGCGAGTACACAGCAGAGCTTAGGTTCACACCCACCAAGTCTAACTCCACAGCCTCCCCTCAGTCACTTCCCTCTTCTTACTGAGGGCACCAGGTTCATCTTTTCCCAACATCTATGGTGAAATCAATCCAGCAGGAAAGTTGGAAGGTAGTATGAGCTACATAAGCGCAAAAGAATTTGTTAAGTTATGTATAATTTAGACACCCCCTAAAAAGCAAAGAAAACTTGAAAATCAACTAGATGTAATCCAAACGTACACGAGATACATACGGAGTACATTCCTTAAAAGATGTACTGAAGGCCAACCAAACCAGACCAATCTGGCCTGGATACAAGAGGGGCACGTCAGCAGTTACAAGGCGGTAAGGGCCGAGTAAAACTGAAATCGTTCTAACTTTAGGAACAAACGAGCTTCCTGGGAACCTCAGAGTAATAATAGCACAGGAGCATGTGCCCACTGAACGACAGCGGCTTTGGAGGGAATGAAATATGGGGCAATATTCTAGCACATTCTAGCACTGCTGGGACTTCTGCTCTTTTCCAAGGTCCAATTTAATGAAACAGAAGCCTATTCTGCAGAATATAAATTACACGACTTTCGCCAGAAAACCCAAGTCTAGACACAGCATGTCTTCTAACATCCCAGTTTCCTCCAAAACCTACTAAAGATTCTTATGAAGAGTCTAATTCTTCTGCCCACATAACACTACGGGGAAACACTTCCCCACACCCAGAAGAAGGATTCGACAGATTGGAGAACTAGAACGGGGCAAACCGTTGAAATGTAGAATATTTTAGAATCTATACCATTACCTTCAATTATGCACCGAAATGTCATATGATATATCACTGCACAGCAAGCCATCCCACCACAGTGGCTTAAAACAAGGAGCTGTTCCTCTTGATGAGTCTGCGGGGTGGCGATCTAGGCAGTTCTGCGGATCTCACCTGGCATCACTCATATGACTAAGTCACCACTTGGCTCAAAGGGGGCTGGGGTGGTGGCGGGTCAAGATGGCCTCACGCACACGCCTGGCATTTGGCGCTAGCTGTCTCGCTTCTCCTCCACGTGGGCACTCACCCTCCAGGAGGCCAGCCCCTTCACAGCGTGGTGACCCCAGGGGTTCAGAAGAACAAAGGCAAGAGGTGCAAGGTTGCTTAGGACCAGGCTTCAGAATCCACAGGACACTGTATTGGTCAAAGCAAATCAAAAGGCCAGCCCAGATTCAAGAAGGAGGAGAGCACAGACTCCATCTCTTAAGGGAGGAGCAGCAGTGGCCCTTTAAAAGGGGGCGGGGACATGGCCTACCACAGCAGAATGTCCGAGTTTCTAAAATGAAATCTGGAAAGTTAGTGGGAAAACTACATTTCACAATGGATCTTTATTATATAAAATGTCAAAAGGCAGAGAGAGAGAGAGAGAGAAAACATGAAAAAAAATAATTATGCTCCCAAATCAGGATTTCAAAATCAGCAGGGACCTTATCATCATCTGGTCTAATCTCCAGCCGGTTTGGAAATTCCATTTACAATAGCCAACTGGACCATTTCCAGTAACATTACAAAGGCAGGGAAACTCTGCGTCTAAGCAGTTCTGATTGTTATCCTGTTTTTCTCCTTAAACTAAGTCCAAATCTGGCCTCTATTTCTAAAAAACCTTCTGCCTCTAGCCCTATTGTACCTTCTGGAACTAAAGGCAGGATAATGTGATGGTTTAGACTGACACTGGAGTCAGGAGGCCAAAGTCTGAACCCGCAGCTTTGCTACTTTCTAGCTGTGTGTCCTAGGTCAAGTCACATAACCTCTCTGTGCCTCAATTTCCTCGTCTGTAAAATAGGAAAAATAGCAACTCTCAGATCATTGCTATGAGAATTAATGAGTTTACAAAAATAAGAGAATAGTGCCTTGGGCATAGTAAGCTATGAAATGCTTATTCTTGTTTTAAATATTATCACTTTTTTACTAAAAAGGCTTAATAATACTCCCTCCAATATTTGAAGATAATTAATACCACCCTCGCCATCCCCAGCCCTCTTCCAGGACAAACGTCCATGAGTCCCTTCAACCACTTTTTCAATGACTTGGTTCCCACACCCTTTACCCTTCTGTCAGCTGTCCCTTTATCATACAGGCACGTAGTGCTGAACCCAGAACTCCAGATGTGGCAGAACGAGAGTAGGGTAAGACCTCACTTCTCTTGTTTCAGAAACGATACTTCAAATAATAAAATCGCAGACTGACTTCTCCAACAAATTATCAATGAGCTCTTACTGAGATTCAAGAACTGTGCTATTTGTGAAGATAAGACATAAAAATTCCATCTGAGTTACCCCCCAATATGGCTCCCCAGAAATTTCCACGTGCAGATCCCCGGGACCTATAAACATATTACCATACACGGCAAAGGGACTTTGCAGATGCGATTAAGATGAAGATCTTGAGATGGTGACATTATCCCTGATTATCCCCGTGGGCCCAGTGAAGTCACAAAGCAGGGAGGAAGAAGGGTCAGAGACAGAGGAGATGTGATGATGGGAGCAGAGGTTAGAGCAGGGGTGGGCAAACTTTTTGACTCGAGGGCCACAATGGGTTCTTAAACTGGACCGGAGGGCCGGAACAAAAGCATAAGGGACTTTGCAGATGCGATTAAGATGAAGATCTTGAGATGGTGACATTATCCCTGATTAGCCACGTGGGCCCAGTGAAGTCACAAGGCAGGGAGGACGAAGGGTCAGAGACAGAGGAGATGTGATGATGGGAGCAGAGGTTAGTGATGGGCTCTGTGGGTGGAGGAAGGGATGGAGAAGGCACCAGAAAGCAACAACAAAACAGATCCTCCCCAGAAGGAATGCAGCCTGCAGAGCCACTTGGACTTCTGACCTCGAGCTGTAAGATACATTTGTGTTGTTTTAAGCCACTAAGTCTGTGGTCATTTGTTAGGAAACAATAGGAAACTAACATACCGCCCCTGCCCAAAAGGTTCTATGTAAAACATCAGACTATTTTAATCCAATTGTCATAAAGTTAAATTGCAAGAAAAATACACCCGAAAACAAAATTTTGTATTTAGTTCTGACCTTAGCTTTTTTTTTTTTTTTGGCTTTTACTTCACACTGATATTAATCTTAACATTCAACATAACTCTAAGTCTTTTTATATGAACTGCCCTTAAGCCAGATGTGTGCTGTGAGAGACTGGCAATAAGGAGCCAGTTTTATAAATCCTCACTCAGAAAAGCTACTGATGTGATATTGTACTCTTTCCTCTGAAAATTCTCATCTATTTTAAACCCTTTTCATCACCAACAATCATGCCCATCACATCTTACACTCCCCAGATTAGGGGTGTCTGAGTGAACCAAATATTTCATAATATTTTAAGTAAAGTTTGTATTAAAATATACTTAAAGAAAAAAATGTAATGGTTTCGAAAAGTGGACTCACTCCAGTAATCACCGTTCAGATAAAATATTAAATGCC